CCTTGGCCCTGTCTTGACCTTGGGAATGGGTTGGTATGGTGGATATTAGAAGGTGTTGGGTCTGTAGGGTTCAATAAGGTCCTTCTTTTCCACATGACAAATGAATGGCTGTGTCATTGGGGAAAAAGAAAAAAAAAACACACTGTGTCCACTTTGACCCCTCTAAACAGCGCTCCAGGGAAAGTTGGTGCCTAAATCTGCTCTTGGGGTCACGGCACGGCCCCCAGCGGCCAGGGATCATGTTCCTAAATAACCTCCAGACATCCTTAGGGATTTATGAACCCACTCGGCTAGAAGTACAACTTGGATCAGGGTTAGCTTTGATGGGATATAGGCAAGTATTGTGTAGGAGTGGAAACCAGAGCGGGACTGAATATGCCTGCACATGTGACGCATGTGTACCCATGCTTGCGTGTGAACATGCAAGTGTGTTTATGCCCGTGCTAAAGTGTAAGAGGTCAGATCTCCATGTGATCCGACCAGCTAATCTAAATCTAATCTTAGCCAGCTGCATGTCCTCAGCCCCCTCAGTCCCATCTCCTTCTCTCTTTTCCAGCTGAGGGAGAAATTATTAAAGCTACAAATTACCAAGACCCAGAGGTTCTTCCACCACTGGTGATAGCAAGCAGATGGCAGCAAGACCAGGAGAGACGGAGCCCTCCACCCCAACCCCAGCCCCTTACATAAAGCGCCATTTGCATTTCATGAGCCTTAATTGCGTCTGTTGCCCTCCTCCCCACCGGCTCTGCGATTTTGTGCCTGTCACTGTGCACCCCTGCACCCTTGAAGGAGCAGTGATAGATTAAGGTGGACCTTCTGTTTGCATCCCCCTCATTGTGTTCCTGAAATTAGAAAATATTATCTCCCAGTAGGCTCAAAGTAGGAAAAGGGGGTGCAGGAGGTGATAGTGACACTGGGTGGGATAGGACAAGACAGGGGGAATTTGGTAAGGCATTAATGGGAAAAGTGGTTATTTTAAAAGCTTGTCCTTGACCCTGTGATGGCAAGACAATGATGTGTGGAACCCCCAGACACCTATAAAGCACGGAGGTAATAATCCGTATCAGTCAATACTTAATAAACACAAAACACAGATTTTGTGCTTTCTTCTTTTTTTTCATGTCATTCTTTTGCCTTTTTTTGTGTTTTGTTTTTTTTCCCTTACACATGTAGCAGCGGAGTGTGCACAAACACTATTTGAGGAAAGAGCGCCAGAAGGCAGGAGTTTATGATGTTCATTGGACTGCCAAAATCCAGGTGGTGGTTAAATCAAATGGCAAGAGATGGCAGAGTGTTGATCTGTCATCATCACCATAGTTAATGTTACGGGGACCAGACGATGTGTTGGTTCAGGATGACATGACAAATATGTCTAGTGTCTGTCTGGTTTGTAGCCACTGTGTTTTTGTATGCAGATACTTATAACTGATGGGTGTGAATTTAGTCAGAGGTTCACTCAGTAAAAAACAAATGCAGATTTAAAGGAGAGATGAAGGGGCATACAGATGAGAGAGACATTCTTTCATTGCACTTGATTTGCTTAATTAGTTTTCTGTATTTATCTCACAAATATTGGGTGTGAATATGAAATAGATCTACCATTTGTTTAAGATTAGTCCAATGTAACATGCCAATCTTTTCAAGTGGTTACTGAATGGTTTGATGAGATGATGTGAATTGTTTCAGATGTCAACCCAAACCAATTCAACACCTCTGAGAGATTTTGGAGCAACATGGTTGCCATCATTCTCCACCACCACCATCAAAACATCAAATGAGGAAATATCTTTTGGATTAATGGTGGTTGTGCCTCCAGGAGAGTTCTAGAGAGCTATAAAACTGAAGCATTGAAACTGGTCTGCATGCGGGCTATGTTGACTTCCCCTTTAATTTGTCACCCATTTTTAATTTGTTTATTGCAAGCTAACCCAGGGCTGTGCGATATGACTTAAAATCAATATTATTATTTTAAACTTTCACCTTTTTACTTATTTTATGTCCTTATAGTCCTCTGACAAGGTCTATACTGTAAATATGCTGAATTATTAAAGCTTGGATGTTTCTTTCTAATGAAGGAGTCCATATCTTTGTGATTTTAAAATAATTTAAGGAAACACACACAGATGAACTATTTATGGCTATTTATGGAATAATTTGAACTGTTTAAATCAAGACATTGATTATTAATTAAACTTATAGGTGGTGTTACCTTTGAAGTAGAATTTTTTTGCATTTGACTTCTTTTTGTTTGGTGTCATCTTCACTGTGTCCAAATTGTGCCCAAACAACAGACACAGCATTCTTTTTTTTTTTAGGTATAAGCTGCTCAGGTTCAGGCTCAGTGTTTGCACTCTTGTCGTCCATATCACCAGCTTTGCTTTGAGCGAACGTGGACTAACGTTAGTTGGACTGTGCGGAAGCATCCGACTGAACATGAGCTGATATTTTTAAGGGGACAGTTCGTGAACGTGCGTAGGGGAAAGTATTGACAGAATTAACCAACATGAGCAAGATTCAATTTGTGAGTGAGAGGTTCTAAATGTCAGTTTTGATTCTTTTTCAGTTAATTGCCGCAGCCTTAACCTGACCTGAGCTGAACCCCTGGTGCTTCACTGGAGCTGCACATTGGCCTGCAGGTAAAGACTGTCTGTAAGCTTCATCTCATCTTCCATATCTGAATGTTTTTAATTGTGAAAAGTGAGGAAGAGCATTGCTAAATCTGTGCGCACTTAGAAATCAAAGATGTTTTTGTAAAAACAGCTTAATCTTATTCGGTACTCCTTCCTTGCTCGTTTTATTTTGTGATGCAGTGAACTTGCCACGTACTGTCTGAATTCATCAAATAATTCATCAAACACAGAAGAGTGAATTTTTTTTTTTTTTTTTTCTTTTTACGTCTAATGATGTGTTTGTGCCACAAAAGCCTTGATAATGGCTCCGGAGGAGGAGCATTCATTAGACTGACTGAAGGGTAATAGAGAGGAGACAAGTAGGAGAAATCACCTCTCTCTCTTTCGCATCCATGCATACTGATGGCAGAGGGTACAGCCCTCACAAACAGGCTGAGCTCCAGAGAAGGCCTAATGATCATATATAGAGTTAATGAGGTTTAACACACTCCAGTAAGAAAAATATGATCTGCTAAACCCAAGGGGGTCATTGAGAGTCTTACCACTCTCTTCTCAATATCGTAGTAGATATTATGTTTAACTGTAGTTCTCACATTGTACCACACAGAGGCAGTGTTTGATAATCCAGCATGATGTACAAATGTTGGCACAGTTACTCTACTTATCCACAAGATGGCAGTGTTGCACAGTATATGATAAACTGCCTGTCAAACCTAAAAGTATATAAAGAGTTTATGGATGGGAATGCACCCAAAAAACATAGAAAATGGGGACATGAGGGTAAAAAAAGAAAGCATTTAAACTTAGACACAAACTCTCTCAGATACTGAAAATTACAACACAGACAGAAAACACGCAGACCAGAATGCAGTGTCCCTATTTCACCCAGCGCTAGTATGCGAGAGGGGGAGGCAGTGGGAGGCTGTGACCTCTCAGGCCTGCAACAAGAATCCTCCTCCTGAGAGTTCTCTTTCATTGCTGGAGATTTAGATACCTATCATCAGCTGAGCGCAGAGCTGCTGGTTGTGGACTGACTGTTGTCTTTAAAAGGAATAGATATCATCACAAATCATTAGCTATAATCTGTAAACACAGGCTGGGTGCCAGTCGAGTCAGGTAGGTTTTGCCTCCCCAGAAGTGGATTGTGTGTTAGTGTGTGTGTGTGTGTGTAGTGCTATTGAAAGACACAAAAAGCTCCATCGTGGTGGTAAGAAACATCCTTTAATGATTAAACTCAAAGTAGCTTTGGTAATATCAAGAGCATTTGGAAGTTTAGGTGTAAACATGGTATAGACAATTGAACTCTGTAGCTTTACACAAAATAGTAAAGAGGGCAGTTGTCATTAGAGGCAATCTCTTCTAACTGGACCCATTAATAATCATCTAAAAACCCACAGCAGACTAGCCTAGTGTAAGCTCTGAATTAAACGCTTTAATCCACCACAACACAGCTCTGTATTGGAAGGCTACAGGATCTCGCCGGAGATGTCAAGTGGAGGACAGACGCTTGCTTACAGTGTGCAAAACACAGCCAAGTCCTCTTATTTCCGATGCTATGTTGACACTGAAACACTAGCTGCATGTTTTGAATAACTGGCATCAGGTGCCAATCGGCGTGCCTTTGCCCCTACCCCCAAGTGTGTGTAACACAAGTCACATACAGCATTTGCAGCCACATGCACAAGGCAGCACATTTGATCTACCAAGAGTACGAGCACACACTGTAAGACAGGCTTGCTTGGCTTGACTGTAAACAAGAATTTCCATGCTGCACTCTGTATTTCAGTTGCTGACATCCAGCAGCCTACGAGCACGCAGCCACTGTCAGTTAGAACAGATTCATCACCGCAAATGGTTCCGAATCTGCCTCCGTTGTAAAGTCCTATCACCGTTTCACTGGCAGATTTTTCACATGATGCTGTTGTGTAGCACCAGAAATGTGTGTTTCATAGTTTTAAAGGCAGACAGCGTAACAGCCCAGAAAACGACTTGAATTTCCTCATGCATCAAGTGTTAGTGTGAATCCAGTCCCTTGTAACAGTGGAATACACAGTATTATATAATGCGAGAGTAGTTTTATTGAGTACGTGAGTGTTTTTTAGGCGAGATTGTCATCAACATCTGTTATGCACGACATATATAAACAGTGTTTTATACAGTAGAAGAGAAACACATGAACGTCAGTGGGCAGAGACTGCAGCATGTCAAACTTCAAGTATGTGAAACAGACATTTGTATCATCACTGCAAACCTCTCTCTCCTTTTTTTCTCACATATAAAGTTAATACTAAATGTTTTTCCTATCATCTGGTATTTTCTTATATGGCTTCAACTCAGTGGCATTTGTTTCTAGTAATGTTAGAATTATACTTTTTTTTTTCTCAGACTATAATGTCCCACAGTGTTATTTTTTATTTATGGTACTTGACTAAATAGGCAATCTGACTTCTTGAGGCTTTAACAGCCATGGTCACGAAGTGAACACAGACATGAGAACAAGGGAAAAGTAAGAGCTATAGAGCTAAAAATGAAGCCTCTGTAAAGTAATTTCACTGTGATCTAACTCTTGCAGAAAAATACTGATGTTCCAAATGACTTTTGATTTCATCAATGCTCCACCCCAAGCTCTATTCTTTTTTCTTTTTTTTTTTACAGTAGCCGATAAAGAAAAAAAAAAAGTCAGACACTGCAATGTGAAATAGGCCGTGTTCCCTAAAAGAAGCAGTCAGGCACTGTATATACAGGTGGAACATCTCTCTGGTTCTCACTGTAATTAATGGCAAGCGGTTTGACTCTAAACAATAACAAAATAACTCTGTTGTAAATGATTGCTATCAGTAATAGGAATGATAAATATAATAGCACCATCTTTTTTTTGTTGAAAATAAGAAATAGAAAAAATACCGAAAATGAAAACACTGAAACTTGCAAATCCACAAAATAGAAAAGGACCTAATCTTTCGTGGCTATGCTACATCCATGGATGTTACCACTCTGGTTTTTTTTTGTAAAGCAAGCCTATTGTTTAAAAAAAAAAAAAAAAAATCCTCCTGACCCTTCTATTTCTATACATGCACTTTGGTTAATATACTTCAAGAAGTTTTTTTTCATTTCATTTTTACTGATTCTTTGGCAGTTACCAAAACACAAAAAAGGCAAAAACAAAAAAAGAAAACACAACAAAATAGCTTCTAATTATTTCATCATTACAAACAAACACTGAGGCACTTAATCAGCTAAAACAAAGCTCATACAAGTATCTGTTGACAGAGCAACACAAAAACTATGTACATATATGTAAAAAGTGTTATAAATAGGTTTTAAACCATAGATACTATATACAACTTTCAAACGAGACAGTATTGGTTGTTGTTGTGTTTGTTTGCATGTTGATTTTTGGTATTACCCCCCTTTGGTGTGACCTGGGTGTATTGGCCTGGTGGCTCCATTGGCCATTGGTACTTTAGGCATCAGAACTTATACTTCAGAGGGGAACTGATGACACTTGCAGTTGGGCATTGGGTTACTGGGAACACTGGGATGGAGTGATGGCTCATTCTCGCTTCCTCAAGATGACATAGATGAGTCCGCTGATCAGCGCCAAAGGGAAGGCCACCCACGCCAGGATGTAGGAGTAGCCGAAGGCGTTTGTCTCCGGCACCCACTCCGGACTCATCACCGTGTAGATGATGGCTCCGCTCATCACGAACAAACCTGCAGGGAGAAACGAAGTGAGCACTGAGTAACGCCATCATGGTATTCACCTATCAGGTCATGTTTCTCTGCAGTACTGTGCTCCCTGTCTTGTGTCCTGGGCTGAACTCTGTCAGGCAGTGAAGGCGAGCAGGTCAGTGTTTCCCAGAAGGCATCCCTCCACATTACATCATGGTGTTTCATGCTTATTGAACACCATTCCAGCCTCTGTAAGCCTTTCCAGGTCTGCCCACCTCCCCGGTCCGACATGGCATGATCTGTTTGTCAGACCCCCGCACTGCCAGCCTCCCTGACATTTCAACTTGTGCGGCTGGCTGCATGCCCAGTGTCATTCCTGTTTGGCTGAGTGGGCACCTGGGTGCCAGGCAATGCACTGGCACGGTATACAGAGCAAACCTGGGATGTTGAAAAGGGCTGCCAAGAGAGGACACAATGGACTGGCAGCTGAGCTGCTCTCTGGCCAAAGGGCATGAAGTACAATAGACAAGTGGAGCATGAAAACCATTAGTAGCTGGCTCACACTCTCTTAATTTAATTCTCTGCCACAGAAGATACAGTGTGAGCATCCGCTGCTGGTTTGTCTGTGTAGGTGGATTTGTATGCATGGTGTATTTTCAGAGTGAAGTGCTGCTCTGCAAATGAAGCAGGTCAGAGTAGAGCTGGAAATATTAGTCATTTAGTTGAGTTGATCAGGTCATCATCTGAATATCCAGTTTCCAGCTTCTCAGATTTTAGAACTAGCTGCCCCTCTGTTTTGCATCATTGTCAGTTGATTCTGTTTTTTGAGTGTTTTTTGTCATATTTTCTAGTATTTTATAGAGTAAATGATGAATCATTTCTGTGAAGAAAAATTACTCATTCATTACAGCCCTAAATTGTATAAAATATAACCCCCTTTTTACATTTTGAATCGATACCTGCCAAAATTATACCAGTGTAGTGTCTATTTGTTCCCTCATCTGATCTCAGTTATGTTGTCAGTGGATTTGTGAGGAGGTGTTAAGGCGGCTGAACTCACTGGCAAGGATCTGGAAGGTTCCAGTGAGGAAGAAGCGTCCACCCTTCTGCAAAGTGAAGAGCTGGCAGAAGAAGAGGAAGAGAGAGAGGCAGCTGAAGATGATGGATAGGATCATGAGAGCCTGGACCGCCTGAATCCACTCTGTAGGGGAAGAAGAAGAAGAGTGTTGTCAATAAGCAATGACAAATACCCATCATTAGCCAGAGCTAGTAATTTATATATAACATTGACTTAATGAGCGCATGAGACAGGAAGGGTAAGAAGAAAACAAATGAAAAAACAAATGCGTTCCACTGGCCTTGCCTCTACTGAATTTAAGAATCCTCTCAAGGAAAACATAATGAGCTAGTCTCGTCCATGTTTTCTTCTGGGAGCGTGTAATGGATCCATAACAATGAAACCTGGGTATCTTGTTCCTAAAAGCTCTGTGCGCCCCTCACAGCAGGACCCATGACTAAATGTGATCCATCGATTGTTAGTGCTGGTCCTGCAAGGCCTGGCTGCTGTAGAAGCCATTAACCCATTAGACACCTGTATTGACAGGGAAGAGCAAGTAGCATCTAATGTATCTGTGCTGTCTATCCGAGAACGTGGTTGTGTGTTTGACTCGTGTGTGTCTGTGCTTCATTGGTGCCACCATGCCAGGAATCCCAGGATTTTGAGGCAGGTTCTATTTCTTGTCTGAGCGTTATCCATCCTGCCGATCCGGCCTCTCAGGTTTCCTAAAGCGCTCGCTCTGTTATCTATCCAACTCTTCTCTTTAGCCTCATCTGCTGTTGCTGTCGTGTTTTTGTTCCGTCCCTGCCATAAATTGCTGGATGTCACAGGGTGCTTGACCACGAGGAGCGGCCTCCTCAGGTTTTGCAGTAGCAGCCATTGCATCCATCCAATGTCTATAAAAAAAGTGGGATTTTATTCTGGCTCCATCTTTAATCGAGCCACTGCTGAACTCTTAACATTCAAAATTCTGACGTGTTTCCTTCAACATTCTCAGACATCTGTGGTTTATTGATTCTCTTGCTTTATGTAAATGAAAGGCATGGTGTGGTTTTAATGGGGGGGGGGGGCACTTTCAACTTGGAACAAAAGGCCTGATGCATTATTTATCACAGCTCATACTCCTGAACATGAAGGATGATTAAGTAATAAGACGACTTACATTGTGTGATGTTATGACTTTCACTAACCACATTTTAACACTGTAAATAGAAACTTTTCATTGCCGCGTAATGTTTTTATTATTACATTTCGATCTGCGGCGTTTACACATAAAAATCAGGCATTTTTCCTGGAGAGACGATGAAATATCTCTGCCATAGATTTGAAGGGAAACAGTATCTGGACTGACTGCACAGGGTTACCCAGCCTGGAGTCAGGTTACCTACAATAACAGCCCTACAGTACGTCCTGATGACCACTGGTCCATGGATGAGATATGGGGGGAAACATGACACACTGCAAATCTTCATCCACAAAACACAGCCCGCACAATCCCAACACCGGGGCAACCATTAAGTATGTCAACGTCTATGATGATCCTATTTTCAGATGTTACATAATACGATGTGATAACGCTGTGAGAAATGGGCAAAATGTTCCACCCTTGTCCTCTATCCTTCCTCTACTGAGTAGGAAACAGTGACACGGGCCATTTCCTAACGAGGCTCAGAGTATCAGTATGACTCGTAAAACATGAATGGTTTACGATTGTGCAGAAACTGTCAGCTTCTACTGAAGCTTGTGTAATTCCAAACAGGAAAATAACTGTTTATCTTCGCTGTCTCGCTGCCTTCTATTCTGAGGCCAGAAACGCCGCACTGCGCTGAAGAGCAGTGCACAACGAAAATGAAACTGCTGTAGTATTTACCTCACTATGTTTATGTCTTGCAGGCCTGTGTGGGAGCAGAGGACAGTCCTCCTCAATAGCTAATTTTAGAGCAAGTAAGCTCTATGAAGTCATATCCATGGCTGTAAGGACGTGATGTTTGACTCAAGCTCAGCATGTGATAACTGTGACATGAGTATCTCTCACCCAGGCGTCATCAAAACCAAATTCAGCCAATGTTTTGGTAACCAGGGCAACAAGAAGGGGAAACTCAGAAGTTTGAGAAATTTTCCCAAATATAACTACAGTGACCGTGATTATGATTCACTTAAGGAGGAAGCTGATTGCTCAGCAAAGCATGAAAAAAAGCCCTTTTGACACACGCACACAGGCTCGGCTCCTACATGAGAACAGACCACTGTCTTCCACCTTCCAAAGCCAAAGCACAGAGCTGGGCTCAGCACACGCACCTTCTTGAATAAACACTGTGCGTCAGTGCACTAATGAAAGCAAAGTCAAACAAACTGGCTGCACCGTCAAACTACCTGGCAGTGGCAGAGTGTGCAGGCTCTTGCTGCCCTGACAAAACACACACTGGCTGAGCACGGCTCATTCTAGACAAATGACATCACCCCCCCCGCTGCAGCCAGCAGCTCCTGCACCTCCGTGACGGCACATTTAGTAGCAAAACATCCAGCTAGTCAACAGTGAGCTCACATGAACTCATTAACTTTAAGGCAATGGAAATTTTTATCATGAAAATAGTGGAATCTTCGTTGCATATTCGTTGTTTGGTATCTGTATCACTCTTAATTCAAACACGTGGACGTGGCTGACTGTCTAAATAAATCTCTAACGCTGCAGCTGCTGCCTTAAATTGTCCTAATGATCCCTGCAAACTAACACTGGACATTATGATCTGACACTGGGCGTGACCCACCATCAGCATGCTATGTTCTGCATGAGGTACGCCAAGGTCTCCCTGCTTTCAAACACTAACACACATACACATACACACATAGATTTAAAACTTTAAATACTCTCTGCAGCCCCACCCTGATCGTCCACAGCTCTCCTAACTCCTGTCACTACGGACTCCCAATGCGAGTCCTGAATATGGACATCACACCACAACTATTTATACAGCGGCAGCCTATCAGCTACTGCTTCAAAACAGCACTGCCACATTCTCTGCCCTAGATGGCACCACAGGCCCAGAGGAGCTGTGACACACCCACATCAGCAACATGGTAAATGTTGGATTTCAGCAAGTCATTTTCCAGAGTTAAAACCCTCCCCCATTAAAATCAGTGTGCATGGTTTAATCTCTGTGTCATCACCCATTTAACTGAGACCATGTTGCCCAAAACACACCTAAAAACTGACTTATTAATGAAAAAATCCTCATAATTATTACAGCAGAGCAATGGCTAAAAAGTCCAGTATTGAGCATTACATTGAAAACACATAATGAATAAGTAGTTAAAGTTGTCTTAGGGGCAAATAGTAAAGTGACAGGCAGGTGTCTGACCTCCAGTTGATGCTGGGTCACAGTGGTATCCTCCATTGGCAGTGGAGCAGTTTATCCAGAGGTCTGAGGTGCTAGTGTCACCTGACGTCCATACCTGGTGTCAACAACATATGACTTGGTCAATAATTTTTGAAGAGCAGGAAAGTTTCATGTGCATATAGTGTACATATTCCAAGTATAGACATGCAAGTATTATGACTATACTAATCACAAATATATGTACAATTAGTTAATTACAAAGACACACCAGATGTGGCCAGGTGTGTTGTCAAGCTGTAAAACGGAATGAGGAAAATCAACACAACAGTTTTACTCACGCTGACAATTGTTGACACAAACAGGAGAACCAGAGCAGCGACGTGCAGGAGGATGATTCCCAGTAGTAGGAGCAGCATCTTTCCAGGCGATCTGGGCAATAATGAGAAAGAGGAGACGGTCTCTGTCAGTATGGTGTGTGTGTGTGTGTGTGTGTGTGTGTGTGTGTGTGTGTGTGTGTGTGTGTGTGTGTGTGTGTGTGCGCGCGCGCGCGGATGTCAGATTGGTGGGTTATGGGTGTGTCGCTGCAGCACGTTCAACAGACAGAAACTTCATCAGGACCTGTGTCTGTCAGATGGCGCGGTGCATTAACAATAATATCACATTTAACAGAAAATCATTGTTGATATCAAACACGTGGGGAAATTGTTTTCAGGCACATTTGGTTTGCTTTTAATAGCATGTTTGTCGACATAATTACATTTTAAAGCTGATTCAAGGACTAATCCGTTTTTATTTACTCTGACAAAGTATGATTTAAAAGCTTGACTCGTTTTATTCATTTATTTTTTCTCGCGATAAATGGTTCAACATTTCCATCCTTTTAAACTGGCTTTAAATTGTCAGCAAATCATCTAAAGAATGGAAACAATTTCAATAATGACCAATAAAGATCTTTGAAAGCGATATAAAAACAAGGTGAATCAAAGTGATAAAGTAAGATTCTACATAATATTATTCAGTAAAATAGATTCTTAGAGACCAGATAAACTTAATGCCAGGCTGTTTGCGATGACAGCTCAGTCCTCCTGTTTGTGCGCGCAAAGGAGCGGCGTGTATCCCAGCGAAAAGCGCGTTTCCTTCTTTAATCCGCAGGCGAACTGAGAGCAGCTGAGTATAATAAAGTTTAGAAGAGACCGAAGTCCACTTACTGAGAGCGGAGAGCTTGTATTTCCACAAAAAGAGGTTCAGACTCGCAAGAAGCAAAAACAAGTTTTCCCCCAAAGAGTCCAACAGCGGTAGTCCCTCAGTCCTAAAAGTCGCTCTCAGACTAGATTGATGCCAGGGCTGACGTTCTGTTATAAAGTGTCTCATTATGGAAGAACAACGCCCTGCGTGCGTCGCTGCGTCATGGAGTGACCCTCTGGTCCACAGCCAGGATTCCCAATATAGACGAGCCATGCGTAATAGCGCATGGGTTGCCTTAGTTACTAGCTTGCTGTATGTGTAGTGAAGTGACTGATCATTGTTTGGCTGTTGTGGAAACTAAAAGCAACGATCTGCTTTCGAGGATTTTTCTTCTTCTTCTTCTCTCTGACACTTTTCAGTGTCCAGCGTTTATGGCAGTTATTTACATAGTACACTGTACTTTGGTATCCAGGCTTGTTGATATTACTTCTCCTGTCAATATGGAATCTGCATATATATATATATATATATAGCCTATTAAGCAGAAGTACATCATACACTTTCTAAATAATCTTTTTGATAGTTCACTGAGATATGTTCTTATTTAATGATATCTGTGTCTATTTGCCATAAATGGCAGTGGATTGCACACAGTTTACACAGCTTGATTAAAACCCTTATATTTTGCAGTTCATTATGTAATATTGTTGTTGTTATTGTCTCAACCTTTTGTTAATTTAGGCTAATTTAAAGCTTTAGTGAAGCAAACTATCTTTGTCAAGCCATGAATTTACTTTCTTTCAGGTCATTAGTAGAGTAGACTAAGAGTAAGGTATTTTGGACTTTATCCAAAGTAGAACATTTCTCTGTAAACTCAGCTTTATGTTGCCTTGGCAACAAACACAAACACTGTGTAGTGTGTTGGTGTAATGTGGTACAGGGTCTTCTCCCTCTGGTGGTCATGTACTGAGCCACGTGACTCACTGTATGTGTGAAAGCGTGGATGGTTATGCCCGGCGCACCGCCGCCAGTGAGAGATAGCATCTGGGGCTCTCCTCTGTTTGACATGACTCATTTCCAGTGGAAGTGAGGTGGAGTTCCAGCCAGACCAGGGACTGCAGCCCCTGTTGTTAAAAACTATGCACTGAGGTTAGTCCTATAAATATGGGTGTCGCAATGAATGGAATTCCAGGAAATATTATTCAAGGAGTAAGGGAGCGGTCAAAACTGTAAATGCTTTTAAGTAGGAATCGACTGCCTTATCTCTCCCTCCCTCCGGATCTTCTCCTGCACGGAGTTAAGAGATAGAAGATTAACCAAAGGCTGTTGTCAGTGATGATTTAACAGGAGCAGCTTGTTGGACTGAACCTTTCTTTAGCCATGTTAAAGGTAACATTTTTATGGGTTCCTGATAAGACTGTTTGTCAGTCATCAAACGCATACGCCTTCTTTTCTGCAAAATGTCAGCAACTGATTTCCCACCCTGCACAGCTTTCCGTGCTTCTTAGATGGATGGCACATTTTCCTCATCATCAGCAGGCCTGGTAGAGGAGCTTAGGAGCTGTCCAACCTCGGATAACCCCTGTCAACATCCACTCTCTATTCTTCACCACTTAGCTCACACTTCCTGGATGCCCCTGCATGTGTTTCCCACACTCAGATGAAAATGGGAGGCCTTTCTAGCTGTGCTCATGTCCCCAGACACACACGCACACATACACATGCACAAAAGGGACAGTTAACAAGACCAGATCACAGCCTTGAAGTGCTGCTCTGAGTGAGAGCTTTGTGGCTGCTCAGTAATCAGAGTATGTGACATTCTCAGGCCCAAGCTGCATAGAAGTACCTCTTTGTCTGATACGATCGTGCTGTTGTTTGTAGCTGATATCCTTTGTGTGCTTAACCTAGTGTAACTCCGGTGTTTACTGAATCGTGAGGGTTTAACTCTGATCATATGAGCTGTAAAGGTTCACAGTGACACGTAGAGAAGAACTCTTGTTAAAACTGTAGCTGTGCGCTCCCCATTCCCATCCCTTATATGTCAATGTTTGTAAAAGACTGACAATCAGTGAGGCTGAGTGGACACGGGAGTGTTAAGTTTACTGCGTTTGTGGAGCTGGGGTCGAAGCCAAACTTTCTGGGGAGCGCCACATAAGAAACATTCAGAGTGAGAGAGTGAGATTCCGAATAACGTTACATCTGGAGCGGCGTCTAACATTTCACCTCCGTCGTTAAGATGGCAGGACTTATCTTCACGTTAGCGCAGGCAGACAGTGAGAGTGCATACCGAAGCCATAGATAGGACCTCAGCCAGAGGGGGTGGAGGGTGGGCATGAATCTGGAGATTAGACATGATTGAGTTACAGTAATTCCATCCACATACCAACATGGAGGAGAGTGTTAAAACAGATGCGGCTATCATAAGTGATGCTTCTTTTTTTTCCTACCAATGTAATTCCTATTAAAATGTTTAAGTATTAGATGTAATGATGTAGCAAAAAAGACATCACCAGAGGTGGGACTTTGTCCTTGACTCAATTAGATTCCATTTCTTGCTGATTTTAAAACACAGTGACAGGCTGCTTTCTTTCACTTGATTGCATTTTATGTAGTTCCACTTATCTCAAACCACAATCCATTAGCTGTGATGAATAAGTGGCTCATACTCACAGCAGACTTTGAGACAGCGGATCCAGCTGATGCTCCTTACGGGTCAGGGGTAAGGCCTGTCTGCGTCACCACCAGGGAAGGGAGCCTTCTTGCCTTGTGTTTTCGAGTTGTGGCAGCTGTCGGTCAAACGTGGCTCAGTCCTTGAGTCCTGTCATCAGCATGTGAGGTGCCGTTGTCTGTCGGCCCACGGAGCTGCAGTAGTTTAATAGCTCCCCTCCTACTACAGCCGTGTCGGAGTCGGACTGCCCCTCTCTCAACTCACATTGGACTCCTGTGGCCCCAGTCTATCTAAACAAACTTGCACCCACATATACTTGCATGCATGTATGAGATTTATTAAGCATAGGACAGAAAGCACATGATACCAATAACTTGCATAGTCAAAGCAATATTAAGCATGCAAATTGCATATGAGTGGGTAGAAATAAAAGAAGAGAAGAGGTGGAGACAGGGGTGGTGGGAACACAAAAGGGGGGAGTGGCAAGCAAATAGGAGAGACAGAAAGGCTGAAAAAGAGATGAAAGGTAAATACAGTCTGTTTGTTTGATAAGTTTGAAGCTACTTGCAACCCTTGTCTTGTCATCACACTTTAATTAGACCAGACACGGGGTGATGACAACAGAGGGGTAAACTGAGCCCCGTCCTTTAAAATACACTAAATACACACAACACATTGCCAAGTGATGTGACGGCCTCCTGTGTGGGTCAAATTTCAAATGAAAGCTAAAATGTAAAGGTTTCAGTTTAAAACCATGCTAAGGTAGCTGTGTCATTGCTATATTATCAGAGAACATGTTAAATCTATGCTGATGAGTTAGCTACATAAGGTTAATTCTAACCCTAAAACCTCACCATTTGTGGATCATTTCTCATTGAAATGAAGCTCTGAAGCAAACTAATTTTACCATTAAAACATAACGTTGGAGAATCTATAAGGCATCATCTGACATTTCATATGGTCATGATTCACTTCCTGTATCATTCAATTTGTAAACGGGAAGTTTACAAAGCATGAAAGCACTGAAAATGTGTTTATGTATAAAGAAAAACTACAATCCGATCCAAGTGTGTTGCTCTGGGGAACATTGCTTGTGTTTTTTTCCTCATGAGCACTGTGCTTGTTCCCTTGGTATCGGATATATAAATAAATAGATAAATTTAATGAATGTGACTTTAAGTCAAATTACAGTACACAGCTCTCAGCCATCCTCACCCCACTATGATTCAGCAGGAAAGACTGCAGTACAGCATCATGACCTCTGTGTCGCTCTATTATCCTACCACCCCTCTCTGGCCGAGCCGCTGTCTGGAATGAGGAGAACCGGACTCACAGATCAATGTTATGGATTGTTCCAGAATTCCATTTTATCACACAGATGACCCAAAGATGGTCCGTCTCCTCTACGTTGTACTGCATGTACGGGTCTTTGTAGCTGACCTTTGAACTTTGATTAGCAAGTTGGGCTTCTCCAGCTTATCGTGGAGTTATGTGCAGAATGCCGGGGGAAGATGATGTTGATTGAATAAAAGGTTAGAGACGTAAAGATTTCTCATGTGAGCAAGGATCAGCAGACAGCCACACAAAACCACAGAGCCGCTGTATGTGATGTCGACAGTTAGGATGGAAAACCACATAGAATATAATGCATCTTATCAGTCTGCCTCCAGCTTCCTCTCTCTAGCTCTTAGCAGTTACTAGGCCGATTAGTAAACGGATTCCCGCTTTGTTTCTTTTCTTATATCCTAGTTTACAGTAATAGACAAACGTCATAACCCCAACGATGGAACGGCCAAACAGCCTCTTGAGAAAACTCAGAGTTTTGGCGCAGATCCAAAAGCCGCAGGAAGAGCTAGTTCCCATGAATGTTTAGTGTTCAGTTCAAACTGAGTTCTCCAGCAGTTTGAGATGAGCAGAGTTTTAAATGTTCCATATCATAGAGCCAGTGGGAATTAACTAGATATTCCAGTAAAAGCAATGATCCCCTGACAGCATATTTAAGTAATGTTGTCAGGGGAGGTGGATATATTTTCAACATTTATGACCCAGACACATTTTTTTATGTTTAATTTGTTACTTACAAGCAGTATCTCATATGTTATTCACATTTATTCCCCCTCTATTGCTATTGCTACAAATCTATGATCGTGGCAAAATAGCTCATTACATTTTTACATTTCTTTTCCATTTATGCTCAGCTAAAACTGTAATTGGATATTTTCTAGGTATCATGTAATGTTGATCTTGCAGTTCTACATTCCCACACTGTAGTATTTGATGCATTTCATATCATAAAATTTCATTTCCTTTTTTTCTTTTTTTAAACTTTGATGTTGAAGGTGGACATGGGGTTTGAAGAGGATTCAGTTTAATATTATTTGGCTTACTGGGTAGGCTATTAGACAAAAGTCCTAAATTGAATTGGCATAAAGAATGCACTGGATACATCACCTGTGCAGAGTATCCACTGAAAAAGAACAAAACAAAGTCTGACATAGTACAGCAAGGAAAAAAATGGTAAAATAGCACATTTTGTCATGTATGTAAGCTGCAATAATCATCATTATTTATATTAGCATTGAATGAAATCACTATATAATACATTAAATGTGAAATTAGTTAATTCCCAGTGATTAAACCCCTAAAATTATCACCAAATTTTGCAGCTCTACAAAGGCTTTTAGCCTCATTTAGCTCATTGTTTTAGTTTAACAGTTGGTCATTCAACATCACCAGAACCCTGTTTCCAGCAGCATGAGAAGGCTGCTTTCAAAAGAAACAAACAAATAAAAAAGCAAAAGTAAGGGTTGTTAAACCTACTGTGTGCTGTGCTCAATGACATAAAAATAACTTTAGCAACTAGCAGGAGAAGGGAGTGGAATAGCTAGCATGTGAGTCAGATTTTTCACTGATGTTGGTAGAAACAGAAAGGGCTGGCTGTAGGGTGATGATGTTGCTCTTTTTCAGCTGGATGTGTACGCAGGCCCTTTGCTAACACGTTAGCCATAACACTTTAATAACGCGATAACCTGTCACGGCTGTGTGTCTGTTTTAGATGTGCATCCTCTAGTGGTAAAAATGATAATAAATCAGCAATAATGCAATCAAGTAACCAGCAGATAAGCTTGTGCCTGTCTGCGAAGAAAGACTCAAAGTAAGACTCAATGTAATGAGGTAATCAGTGGTAATATATTGTACTTGGAGGGAAAAAATAGTCTCCATGACATCCAGCGCATTTCTTCTTCAGTGATGCATACTATGTCTAGGTTTGTAATTACAGCACGAGTAAAAAACCGTCAGTGACTGACATCAGTCTCAAGTGATCTGCAATCAGCTCTTTAGTATGGTATGATGGCATGTAAGAAACACAGAATAACATGGGGCACAGGGCATCTATAACAAGAGTGCATGTTAAAAATAAACTGCCAATATGTTTGGAGTGCGGGAAGAATTTCAGAGTACATTCCCCATATGCGGGGGTGGTAGAGGAGGTCAAATAGGAAGGCCTATTTGTGTTACATCCAGAAAGGGAACCATAACCTCAAATTAAACATGGGAGGGAGACAGAGAAACAGGGGTTCATTCCACTTAACTGAACTTTTCATGGGTACCTCCATTATGTATTTCTGAACCATAAATGTGGGAGTTGAAGGGGGAAAACAAAGGGGACAGATGAAGGGGAGAAAACCCCTCATCTCTGTGCTATCTGTCAGTATGTTTAATTACAAGTTGATGAGAGCAGGGAGTCTTTTGATGTAAGCTAGACAACACGGGGTCTTTCTTTGCGATACCAGGGCTCAGGAATGTGCCTGGGCACAGTAATATGAGGGCGCACACACACACACACACACACACACACACACACGTTTAACACGCACATACATGTAGGAAACCATGGCAGAGACCTCCTGCCATTGACTTGCTCCTGAGCATTGTAGTCAAACAAAAATGCTGTTTGCACAGCAGGGAAGGCAGAGAAGGCAGTTGTAAAACATCACACCTAAATCAAAGTGCAAGTTACACACATGCGTACACTGAGTGGTTTATGTTTATAGTCACTCCCTCCCTCCTTTCAGGAGCCTGGATAGTGAAACTACTTACATGAGAGATGTTGATGCTTTTACCTTCAGTTTTCAGCCACTAAAAGGATTTAGATGGAGCCAGTTTTCATGATAGAGTTGAGGTCAAACTTAGAGCTTAGATTCCACGTTGCATCTTTTGTCACATATCTCTGATTATCATGCCAGTCCAGACTAATGTCCGTCTCGAACTTCCATTCACTTTGTCTGCAGGTACTCACCCAAACTGAGACATACAGTATTTTGGTTTTATGGCATATACCCTCTACCCACTGGTGCTATAAAATAGCAAGGATTAGAAACATAAATTAACTGCAAGGAAAGAACAAAAGAGAATACAACTCTTGCTTTGTGTTATGATCAGTTCCTTCAGTTAGATAGTGCTGATCAATTTAATGAATGGAGACGTGGCAACTTGTGTATAGGCAATCAAAGTTTACATTCCTCAGTGAAGCCAAAGGTTATGCAAGAGGTGCAGTAGTGGAAGGGTTGGCCCAAGGAGTGTGATAGTGTTTACAGTATGTGTGTGCCTGTGTGTCAATAGTTTGTTCAGGCTCTGAAAGGTGTTGACTGAATAAATAAAATGAAATGAAACTGATATACTTCACATCGCTGGATGTACGGTATCGAGTCAGGGTTAACTCTTTCAGGCGCCATTTCTCCAGGTACTGGAGCATCAGGGTACAGAAGGGTGGAGGTAAAGGGGAAAAAAATAGTGAGGTGTGTGGGGTTTAGGACTTATAGGATGGGTGTGGGGTTTCATACATAACTTAGAAGTTGTTTGCCCAGCTCCTCCTCTGGGTGAGGTGATGAGTAATGGGCCACACCAGTCATTAAAAGAAGAATGGACATAAAACACAAAAGTCTTTCACATTCCATAATTCTGTGTGCACCAAACTAGCATATCTTAGAGAGTATATGCTCTCACATTGAGCACTCTATCTAAGGTGACATTCAGGTCACTTAACCTGACAGAGCTGAGTGAGTCTTCAGAGTGTCTTTGTTTCTGGCTGTGTTGTACAAACTAATCTCTGCTGTTTGTTTGGAGATTACTGTCACATGTGCTACCAAGACCACTGTTTGCGCCCTACTGGGCTGTGGCCTGTCGCCAGTGTATTGATAAGAACCCTGGCTTGGATAGATAGTCGCACCACATCATATTACTGATGTATATTGTGTTAAAAACAAGGGTTACATTATAAATCAAGGGTTTCAAGGTCAGAAACGTAGGGAAAATACATTTTTTGTGGATTCTATCACACAGCATATTAAGTCACTGTTTATTCACAGTTATGACCACGACTGTTGAGGTACCACTTCTTCAGAAATTTGAAATAGGTGTGCGGGTTGTATGTGCAGTACATATCAGTGATTATGTTTGATGTTTTACAAGACTTTTGTTATATAATTTTCAAAGCTTCCTGCATTTTTTCAAGGATAAAATGTTTGTAATTGGAGGCAAAATTAAAGCATTAGGAGACATTGAGTTGTGCCTGATCAATCACCATGGCAGTTGATTTTTTAACGACATCACAATGTGTTGTAAAAACATTACAGGTACAATACTTAAAATAAGGACAATCAGCCTATAAAGTTAAATCATTTTGTTTACAATCAAACCCACCCTCTAAATCACTCCAAAAAATTTTAAAAAGTCATTGTTGATTAAATTGGTCGTAAAGGTTCCCCTTTCTAAGACTTGACTTAGGTGTAGCCCACCAGACGGGGCATGCTGGGAAAACACTTGCGCATACTCATGCACTTCTCCTGGTCCAGGAAGAGTGAGTTGGCCTTGATGGACAGGTCGTGTTCCAGGGTCACTTTGGTCTTAACCAGATTCTGCAAAGTGTTCTCAGCCTCCATCAGTCTCTCCTGAAGCTTATGAATGGTGTCCTCGATCTCTCTCACCTCACTCACAAGTCTAAACAAGGAGGGAACAAGGAAGATTGGTTAAAATGCCTGAAAATGTATCTTGACACAAGTGACAAATGTTCCACTTTGCCACTGATCAATACGTTTCATTATGACAGCTTCACACTAAGTTTTACATCCATGAGTGAACAATTGAAAATGTACAGTGTCAAATAGTAAAAATAAAACAATCTCTATGAAAATTGGTAGTCTACGTGTTGGAGTAGGGTTGGTATAAAAGTGCATTGCTGCGTGTCACTGTGTAATTCCTGAAACTGCTACCAGATGTTGCCAAAGTAAGAACTTTGAAAATTCTAGATAGTGGCTTTAATCGAGCTAATATTATATACCTTTTCACCATTCACAGTAAATTTAAAAATGTCAAATTAGCTTAGATAGATTGTATTTTAGCAACAAGGAAGTTCTAAATGAAGTACAATTACATTATCATTAAATTTGGTATATGTAGCTGGTTAATTGCCCATTCGTTAGTGTGGATTGTTTAATTTCTGAGCCAGTGACACAAATGCTTGTTGAACAAGCAATTGATTTTACATAGCTATTCTCTTTGAAAATTCTGTTCTTGTCCCTCATGGCTACCTGTGTGTTTGTGTGGCTAATCATGCTAGCTAGCTAGATGGTACTATGAACACCTTACCCCCCCAGTTTTACCACACTCAGTGGTCACAAATGACCAAGTATCCAGAAGTCTTGTAATCTGGATTTTAAATGCACTAGTATCCATTCAAAATGTGCCAGTCAGTAGGAGGTGATTGCTTGCTTGGCCTGCGTTAATCCAGTTTGCAGCTATCGTGAGAGTATCTTCCAAACAACAGAGACAGACAGAGATTCCTCCATTTCTAGTTAGATTTAAATAAATCCTTCCCATCACTAAGATTGACAGTGGTAACTCTCTTGGCAAGTGTGATTCATTTTAAGAAATGTATTCATAGTAATAATAAATTTACATGCCATCTGGCAAAGCAATAATTGCAGAGCTACCTATGGTGTGGGTTGTCCCTGCAGAGCTCTATGTTTGGCCTGCGGGTCCTCTCCTCCAGCCTGGTTTGAGCCACTTTCAGTGGGCACTCTTTGTCTCTTAGAGCCTTCTTCAGAGACTCAATCAGCATCTCAGTCTGGAAAATCTCCTGCAGAGTCTGGATGAGAGGACAAGACAGATACAGAATAAATTTAACAATTCATTGTTAAATCATGTTGGCAGCAGCTGAGTGCCTGTTTCATGAAAATAGCAGGACATCTAATGTAGACGGTGGTAATTATAGTAAAGGAGGAAAGACTGACCAGGAAGGAGAAAAAAGTGACCATCTAAAAGGAAGTAACAGTAAAAAAGTGGCACACTGCAGGCTTCAAATCATATGAACACAGTGCTGCACAGTGGCCTGCTCTGTCCAGACCCATTTGATCTAATTCAATTCAAGCGAATCACCTCTCCTTACAACTGACAGTGACTGAGGTTAATTAAGGACTGTGTGCCTCATATCACAGCTACTGTCAGATACAGACAGATGGGTTAAAACACCCCATCTAACAGCTGATGTGGACTCAGACAGTAATAGTAGTAGTACCCTGGCAATTAACTTGAGAACAATGTGATCCAGTGTAGAATATCGCACAAGCAATGAAAGAGGCATCTACCACAATTCCTCTCTTTTGACGGTAATGTTTTACAGTAAACTTGCATGTCAGAAGACAAATGTCCCCTGCAGGCCATGTAGCAGACAATACAGATTTATGTGAAGTGCACTCTGTGCACAATCTCTGCATAATATGGTGCTGAATATAGTACAAGAAAAGAGAATGGTACAAACACATGATCTCTTCCTAATTAGTGGCAAATTTAGTTACCCAATGATGGAGGACAGTGAATGCATTTTGTCTTTATCCCTCACATAGAGCCATGTGATTGGTCCTTTGAAGCCACTTTTTTTCATTATCCAGGCTTTTTTCTTTATCATAAAACTTCATCTGACCAAGACAGAACTTTGATAGATAATTCAAAATAAAAAGAGCACCCAGAGAGCACAGACCTCTGCCAAGGCAAGTGTCAAAAAAGCATACACCAGACTTCAGAGAAAAAAAAAAAGGAAATTCATCGTAAAGGATCTGGATATACCCCCAAAATTTAGTGGGTTCTTCCCCATCCCTCCACCAGGTTTTGTGGAAATCGGTTCAGTACTTTTTGCATAATCCTGGTAACAATTAAACAAACAGACGTGGATGAAAACATAACCTCCTCAGTGAAGGTAAAAAAAAAACTGAAATCAAAAATACTGTCTGTTTTACCACATCAAAGTTTAGGTCACCAATATATAATTATAAATTATGCTCTTGGTACACAAACATGTATTATATTTTCGCTTTATGAAATGCAACCATATAGAAAAGATGATGACCTTAGCCAGGTGTGTCTGCAGGCTGTTCTTGGCATCTGCGGTCTCTGATACACGGTTGGTGAAGGCCACGTTGACATTGTTGAACTGGTTCCACATTTCATTAGATGTGGTGTTCAGCAAGATTTCTATCTCATCCCTGAGCTTGTGGGAGGAAGCTCGTTCGCTCTGGGAGTGCAAGATGTTGTCGTCCGTGAACTTGGACCACGAATCTGGCAGAGAGAGTCTAACAGACAGAAAAGAATGACTTACTTTGAACGTGCTGTATATGGGAAAGAGTTGGGCAAGATCATGGGTGGTCCGTTGGTCCACCGCTTTGGTCCCTATATGAACAAGTACGTTCATGGTTTTAGGATGAATCCTAATGACTTTGGTTATCCGCTGACTTCATCTCTGGCTCCATCAGCAGATCAAATGTTTTCCTTATCCTGTGTTTGAAATATCTCAACATGAACTAGATGGATTTATGGTTGTACCCGAATGACTTTGGAGTCCCCTTGACTTTTCCTGTACAGTTCCACCATCATGAGGTTCACGTTTGTGATTTTGAGTGAAAAGTCTCAGCTGTTGGGTGGATTGCCATGAAATTTGTTATATACACATTCATGTCCCTCTCAGAATGAATTGTAATAACTTTGGTGCTCTATTGCAATCTTACAGAGCCACCAGCATTACTAGACTCAGTTTTACTATGGTGTTTTTATGCTTCTGTGCTGGCGACAGACGGGGCCAGAGACTTTGTGTTTTCGGGTTGTACATCCACCTGTCCCATTCTTGTGACCATGATATGTCAATAATGCTTCATGGGAATTTCTTCAAATGTGGCACAACCATTTGCTTGGACTCAAGGATGAACTGATTAGATTTTGGTGGTCAAAGGTTAAGGACACAGTGACTTCGACAAAGGATGATTTTGGCTTTGTGAATGCAACATCTCAGGAACTCCTTAAGGGAATCCTGTCAAATTTGCCACACATGTCCACCTGGACTCAAGGATGAACTATTTAAATTTTGGTGTGATCTCACAAAACATGTTTTTGGCCTCTTGAAGCTGATATCTCAAGACCGCATACAACCCCAAGGCAGCAATTCTAGTTAAACATATTTGGCAGAGAAAATAGGGCAGTGGTTAACCAAAATGACTTTCAAAGGCTGTCTAACGTGTTATTGACAATTTAACTGAAGAGCCCAGTCCTATTCTAAGCTGGTTCAAACAAAGATGAGAAACTGTTAGCATTTAATATTTGATCACATAAAACTATACTCACGAAGGGTCTAGTCTTTCGATCCCTCTGTAATAGCCAATACCATCTGATGTGTTCCTCAGATGGTGACACCTGTCATCGATCCTCTGGGCTGTCACTTTGTCACTCATGTCTCTTTCCAGTTCATGCTGGGCTGCTCTGTTTGACCTTAGGATCCCCACAAAGAAATACAGAAACAAAAAAATAGATAAAATATTAAACATAAATATATCAAATGCATGTCAAACTTCACAGTTTTGGAAGTAACTATACAATAGGATCCTGCATGTAATAATATTTTATTAATTGATTTTTCAGACTCACGCCAGCTGTGCGATGGCTCGGTCCAGATATCGCCTCATCCTTTCTTGACATGACTTGATGACTTCCACTTCCTCGTTGAAACACAGGTAAATACAGATACAAACACCTTATTTATTTTATCAGGTTGGTATCAGAATTAACAAACATATACTCAAACTGCTGCTTCACTGTTACCTTTATGAGGTCTTTCTCTACGTCGTCATGTACCAGATCGATGGACATCCGCTTCTCTCTGTGGTACAAACACTCTTGAGACACCTATTGACAGAGTGATCATGACTAAAACAAGTTGAGGTGGTTGTATAATGAGCAGAATTTAAAGTCACTCAATATGCTGCATTTTTCTTTCCTCGTGACAAATAGGTGGGGTAGTAATTTGAGCAGAATGGAGCAGGGCATGTACTGCATAGTGCGATACATCAGCTGCATTCTTCAGCTTCAGTTACCTGGAGAAGTTTCTAATAAGGTCTTCTGCCACATGATCTTAGCCTAGAAAGGTGTCTGTGTCATCAGATCTCTGGCTACATTAAGTTGACCCTCTCTGGGTGAAACAAATGACCAGACATGCTCTAACGGGACACTGAGGAGATCTAATTAAGAGTCTGACCCAGAAAAAGCACAACTGCATTTTAATGTGCAGATACTGTTGCTACAACCAAACCACTGTTTCACCACAGATACTGTCACCCGGTGATATAATATGCATGAATGATAATATGAGTGCACTGAACTGAACAGAAGCCAGAGAGTTAGCCAGGGTGTTAAGATTTCAGGATGCAATTTGAAATGTAAATATTTCCTGCAAAACGTTCCAATAACAAACATCAAAATTCAGATATTACTTACCAGAAGAGGAGAAATTGAAGGTAACACACACACTCACTGAATTATATCCCTTCCTCTCCTCACCTGAAGGGGCCCCTCGGTCTCTGCCAAGGCTCTCTCCAGCCTCCTCTTGACCTCAGTGAGAGCTGCTATCTCAGTCACCATGTTGTCAGTCTCATGGGTCAGCTCAGACCTCCAGAAGACAATGTCGTTGAGCCGCTCGCCGATGTTCTTGCTGGTGCTCTCCTGAGTTCTCCTGGTCATCTGCTCTCTATCCTGCATCAGCCTCATGGTGTCTCTTCTCAGTCTCTCTGCGCTTTTCCGGGACGACTCAGACTCCCTGTAGTTGTTTTGGTTGGACTTGTACCAATCGTCTGGGGTGTAGCGGGTAGTCAGCGCCGTCCTGTTGGATGGGTAGAACATTGTCTTGGCTCTAACCAGGTCTAAATTCTCTCGCTGTAAGGAAGAAGGGGTTGGGACCGTGCTGCTGCTCTTGAAATAGCTGTTGGTCCTCCACAGGTTGGCACTGGGATTCATGGCCAAGGCAGGCTGGGTGTTGCGATAGCTGGATGCCATGGTGGAGATGGCAGGGAGGAAGTGGCTGGTTTTTGGCCGAGCATATGTGGCTGTCAGGGTGGATCCAATCAGCTCCATTGTTGACTCCCCTCAGAGTGCCACTGGTTTTAATGCAAAATGATTGTCACAACAGACTAAATATTTACATATCATGTAGAAGATACATACATATTAATATATTATTTTAATTTTACCAATCCAAAACATTCAGAAATTAAATCAAAGATTAATCAAGTACTCTAACAACACTAAAGTGACAAGAAAGCATTAAAACAGGAAAACAAAAGTCTTACCGAGCTTTTCCTTCAGTACACAGCGTCTTCCTGCAGGCTACCTCTCGGTTGTGTGTACCTGGAAATGAGCTCAAGAACGCACTAAAGGTATACTGACATGCATAATAGATGGACAAGTTTGCAAGTCATTCATTCAGCCAGCCAATGGTGGTGCACAGTCCTGGGCTGCCGGAGCTGGCCTGTCCAAGATTTCTGTTGACACAGAAGCAGTTGCCATAGGTTACTGCAACACTCTGCCTGGGATTTTCAAATTAATGGTGAGCAGGTGCTTTTACTTTGTTCAAGGAAATGTAGTGGGATTGCAAAATGTCACTATTGTCCAAACAAGATTTTTGTCTTTGTACTTTTTCAATAATTGGATTTCTGTGCTACAGATCCTTGGCACGGTAACCCACCATAGACCGTAAATTTTTTTACATAACCACCATGGACTTGATGCTGCATTGTTCCTGGCCTCCACTTTCCTTCCTAATAACTTTATCTTCTTGATTAAATGTCAAAGTGATGCAAAGGTGAACCCTATGGAAACGAACTGATTAGATTTGTTTGCCAGCATTATAAAATAAAGTTGTTGTTTTTTTTTTTTGGTAGTTAGGTTTTCATTTTAAAGAGGTCATTTACCTTCAAATATCTCGTTAGAAGGGGAGCAATCTGAGCTTTGTCCAGTTGGCCGCCGAGCAGCATCAGATAGCTGTCACCCAGAGAACCTAGCTGTCTGTATGGATTACAGTCACCTTTTTAATGATTCATGCCACAGGAAGAGTCCACACAAACCCCTGTAGCACAGAATAATAATCTGTGTTGTGTTACCTAGCTTTAGAAATGAGGATCATTTACACTAATCTGTTCTGAAGGGGTGAGGCTAGACAGATGATAGCCTGGTTTCCACTACAGAGACAAGCAAAGCTGTAGCCAGGAGTTACTCAGCTGGTTTATCATCATCACAGAACTTTAACCAGAACAAAATACACATATGTGATTGTTCTGGGTTTTGCCAACATCGCTTATTTCTTATTTAACCTATCAGTTTAAATTGGTTGGTGCATATATGTTCATTATATAATGTTGTCAATATTTTTGGAGCGTTACTTTGCAGTGCTGTGGTTGTGACAGGTGAGGAGAGCTTTATGTGATGATAAACACTGATACAACAGCAGTGTTCTAGTTACATCAGCCCCATTACATGGAAATCTTTAGCAACCTTCATACAAGTGTTACCACCAGAGCTGGAAGAAGTATTCAGCTCCTTAGCTTGAGTAAAGTAGCAAAACCACAATCAAGATGTTTTCTGTTACAATTAAGCATCCTGCATTCCTCCATATTTCACTTCAAGGTCCAGCTGCTGTTTTTTGACCCGATATACTGAGATGTTTGAGGTGCCTTGACAGACATAGTCAAGATGAGAGTTTAAATTATAATATGTTCCAAAAAGAGCCAAAAATGTCAAATATTTTGGGGGTAAAAATGAATGACTAAAAAAAATTAAGAAATAAAATCTACAAACAATATATTGACCATTATTAATTAAAAAAAAAAATGTTTAACTTAAAAGACAAAAAAAAACAGCAGATGGCCAGATATTCCCCAAACTTTAAGTGTAAGATGACACAAATTGAAGCAAAGCATCAATAAAATAGCAATTACATCAAAAATCTATTAACCTGACCGTCAAAAATACATAAAATTACCACATGTAAAACATTTTTGTATTAGAATTTCTATTTCTCTCCTTTCATTTTATTTCTTTAGTGAGCCAATACTCAATCTACAATATCAGCCTGCTGATTTATTGATGGACTGTTCTATCCACTTGCATGTCATGTAATCTTACGCTCACTATTGATGGCTGTGTGATTGGCTGTATGTTCCTTGCCTTGAAATCTCCTCTGCGTCCACTATTTGACAGGCTAGCGCTCTGTGGCAGCTTCAAAGAGGCCGTGCTGGGCACTGCCCTGCAGCTCGTGGTGAGGCTACTATTGTCATAAACATGGAGGTTTGGATTTAGAATGGAATGACGTGTCATTGCTCCACCCCTGCGGCCTGCAGCATCACTTAACATGGCCAGGTTGGAGAAGGCCACCCCACATGCTTCTGCTGCCCTGACCTCAGCCACTATAAATACGCCCCAGAAAAGCATGAAAAGCCTGCCCTCGTACGAAATTCCTCCCCCATGGATAGAGCTGCGAGGGTCCACTGGAAAAGTGCTTCCTTGTCAACCTCCCTCAGAATGTGAGGGAAAGGTTAGAGGGGTCTATATATATATATATATATATATATATATATATACACTCCTGCATTGTGGCCCTTGAGAGTATGTTGTGAATTACTGCATAGTGGAAATATCTGAGGGAGCAAACATGCTGTCCACTCCACTTAGAGCATAGTGACACTGAACTGAAGGGTGCAATGCTCATACAGCAGGAATGAAAACTCAATAAATAAGAACTTTTTAATTAAATGTTGGCCTGACATGCATGGTTAAAAAAAAAAAAAAGAAAAAAGGTTTCCATATGTATGTGGTATCGTAGCCACTTTAGCAGTTAAGCTTCATAGTTTGGGGATGAAAAGTGAACCGAGCAGGAAAGGAAAAGTGTCATAATTTCTAGATGTTTATGTCATGTGGTCTGGCAGACAGGTTGACTGCCCTTTGACTTTTCTCATTTTCTCATCACATTTGGACAGAGGAGACAAAAAGAAATGATGCACTGGATCTCCAGTCAGTGCTGTCAGCTTACCGCACACAGAGGCTTGGATTTCATTGATTAGTAAATGAGAAAGGACTTTGGACTTTTCTCTGGCTTGAACGCTGGGAGACACAAGCGGTGCCTGACATCAGTTTTAATCAGGGGCGCAGGTAGCAATGCCCTCTTCAAATATGACAATACTGTAATTGTGCAGACTGCAGCCTCTTTCTCGGGCATCTGTGACACCCACAAAACCCCCTCAGTATTAAGACAAGCCAAATATAAACACAAGAATTCTTCCCTTATAATGAATCGGCCAGACATCATCAACCAGAGGCTCAGTGAGGAACGCCTCCTTTAAATTATGGTGAAAAATACTACCTTTCCTCCAAAACAAACACTTCCCCATTGGTCTCATTTGCAGCATCAACATCTGGTGTGTAACATTAGCGAACACGTTACAACCCAGGAATAACTGCACTTTCTCACTGAGGAAAAAGCACATAACCTGATGATGGCCTTAACTAACCTGTCAACAGTTCTGTCACACCCACTCCACTATACATACACATGCACGCGCACACATACACATACACACACACACACACACACACACACACACACACACACAGTCCCACACTCCCTAAGGCCTTGACACATCCTTCACTTTTCACCGTTGACCTCAAGCTTATCGGGTAAGAATAGAAAAGAGGCAGGGGTCAGGAGTGTTTTCTAAACATTTCCACCCAGTGGAAACAAGTCCTTGTCTATTCCCTTTTGGGACCCTGGTGTTTTCACTTCTTCTCCACACATCCCTTTCGATGTCAACCTGGCAAGCATCCTGCAGTCTGGTCCCACCACAGTTTCCTCTTTTTAAAACCTCACTTTCAGTCGCCCTACTCCTGACTGTATAGTTTAATGGATTAGTATACAGGGACAGCACTGTAATGGCATCAGTTTCCTCTCGTGAATTGTGGATGGAGCGGCCTTTGAGGAGGGTGGCCACACCTGGAGAGGAACACAGGAGAGGAAATGAACCATTAAATCTGATGACAGTATTAGAGATCCCCCGCTGAGATAATGGTGGGTCCAGATGGGAAAATCACAGGAGCCTCCCGGGCTCATCTCAGGTCATCAGTAGTCATTTGAGATGGGTGGGTGTGTTGCCTCACTGTTTACTCTTGTAGCCATGGTACACTATGCATCTATCCTTTACCTATTGTGAGTTAGTCATCCAGCTTGTCACTGAGGCCTGCTTTTTTTTCCCCCAGTGATAACAAGTGAGCGTGGTGTTTATTGAACTTGACCATGTGGGCTGATAACATCTGACTTTTCTGAGCATTTTCCTTGCAGGGGTGGAGCAAAAATGCACCAGAGATACGACGACTGTAGAGACAAAGTAGGACCTGTCTGCTGTTATTGACGCTGCAATTTAATCTTGTACAAAAACAATTGAAGATTGGATTCTGAAAGCCAGTTAGGCAGCATTTTCCAGTCTCATAAAGGGCCTCGGATTGATTTGCCGTGTCAGTGTTAGTGGCATAATGACATCATTTTCAGATGCACAAATTTAAAAATGGACATTAGCGTGAATTGGTTTCCAGTTAATGTGATGATTTTTTGAGTGTGTTGTGGTAGTTAGTGGTTAAACTGTTCAGCCATAGTGCAATGAGGTGTTTTTGTTTTTTGTTTTTGTTGTTGTTTTTGTGCGTATGTCTGTATGATCTGAACACTATCCAACATCCTGGCCCTGTCTGTCACACTCGCATGTAAATCTTTAAAAATGGGTCACAAATAATTATTTTCATTCTTTGTAAAGGGTTGTGTTTCCTTTTAAACAACTGGACACGGTAGAGGTGTGGAGAGGCAGCTGAAAGAGCGTCCTGTTGGCTGTGGCATAAAAAGGGAGTAGATGGAGCTGGAAGCCAGGAGGAGAGTGGCAGCGAGCTGGCCACACTGCTGACCCACCAACCAGAGAGAGTTGTGGTTAAGGGTCAAGGCACTCAACGAAGGCTGGACACCACCTGAACACCTCTTCCCTAAACTACAACTAGACGAGCCATGACTAGACTAGTTTGGAGTTGGCATCCTAGAAATGTGT